ATTATTCAATTGGTTATTTAGCTTAAAAGAAAAGGAAAAGAAAAATTTCCCAAAGCTCCTTGACCGAACTTAAACAATTGATATTTAGAATTAGATAACAAAACCCTGAGTCGAGGGTTACACTTCCATAGAGATTAATGTACAGTACCTGATCAGATTTCAAAGTTAGCACAGATAGCCTATTTTTCTCTTTATTTCCATTTTAAATATGTTCCATCTACTAAGGACATTTACTAAGTACATAAACATTTTTTATGGTGAAATACGCGTTGTCACTAAATATTTGCTTAGTCATCTCTAAAGCTCATACTTGAGCTTGTTTTAGATCATTGGACATAACTTTCTGGAGGAACTTCATTCACTGAACTGTAAGTTGCCTTGGGTTTTAGACAGCCTGTATCATTTGAAATACATCTGATAACTCACCTTTTCCATTCACAATCACCTCAGCCTATAGACCTTATGTAGCCCCGCCCCTTTTCAGCGCTGCGCTCGTTGTCTTTTGACTTCCGGTCTGTGTTTTCATAGCGATCTTGCATAGGTATGAATGAACTGCTCGTAAAAAAATTCCCGGTCGAGATTTGTTAAGACATCTGCTTTACAATGCTTATGATAACTCTACAATAAGTAAATCCACTTCACCAGCTAATTACTCCTCGACAGCGATGCCGTATAGAAATATACAGAGTGACCTGACGGCGCCCACGTTTCTCTGGTGCATGAGGTCTATAGGTGAATAAGTTTGTGAGTGCCCTCCAGTGGTAGGCTAGATTATGTGTAGAGTCAAGCAAGGCCATAGTTTAAAAAATAAATAAAAAATTCCAACACGTGTATATTTATATTCTGTGGAATCTTGTTTCAGCCATTAAATAAAAAATAAAACTGGCAATGGTCATTCTTACCCTTTCCACTTCAAAAATGCCTAATATAAACTTGCAATTGCGAGTTATAAAGTATTATCTTGACTTTTACATCTTTTTTATTATTATTCCGTGCCGGAAACAAGCTTCCATTGTATTCGGCATTTAACATTACAACGCATACTTTTTCTCAGTGGATGATTGTCATTTGATACAATGTGTGATCTGGTACTTATTTACATGATGCATTGAAAAAAAAAAAAACGTGTTTACAACAGTTTTTTAAATCACCATGCCAAAATAGACCTGTCCTTCCTCTTTAGAACAATTGTATGGGTACTTGTTGAAACCACAAAGGACTCGTATAATAATAGAGGAATGCTTTAGTTCCTCACGGTGACATTGAGATAAGCTTCTGCAGGACATAATATCTTCCAGCTACTTCTACATTAAAAACAACTAACAACTTCTACATCAAATCACCTAAAAACAAAAAGTGCATTGGGGATATATATTTTCTAAACAATATGTGGTACATTATGTTTTTTTGCACAAAGCTTCATAAAATTGAGTTTGTACCACTGGAATCACATGGATTACTTTACTGGCCTTACCTTTCTGGGTATTTTAAGCGGTAGTTGCGTAGGCTGTCAATGGAGGGACCGAAAGCTCTCAGATTTAGTTAAAAAGATCTTCATGCATAGGTGATTGAAAGTGAGTGAGGAATTAACAGAATTTTCATTTTGAGTGAACTAGCCTTGTTCAATATGCTTAAGCTTCTATTTCAATACAATTGATTGTCCCTTGTCTCATTGTATGGAAAACAGCAGCTTGGACATTCTGCTAAACATCTACTTTTTGTGTTTCACGCAAGAGAAACGGGTTCGGAGCAACATGAGGTTGAGTAAATGATTATTTAAATTTTTATGTGTCTATCTATATATGACAATTTAAAGAGCCTATGATGCCACCAAGAGATTTCAAAGTCGAGTTAAATTTGCAGGAGTCATAACATAATCCCAAAATAATGAAGTTCGCATAAGCTCTCGTCCCAGGTGATGTATGTGGACATGAGTAAGCTAATTTATTCACAAGCTTGTGGCAACTCCATCACAATTTTTATTTTACAGAAATATCTATATTTTGTGTCAGATATTAGCATGAGTTCATCAGGATAAGGTGGTCTCCTGCCTTCACTGCTGTCAGATCGAATGGCACTCATCTAGTGTCCTTCACACTGCATTAATCGTTCGTCCTCTGAGAACAGCGTTCTCTATTGCTCTTCCTGTCTCATGCGCCATCCCACTGCACCCCCACCAAACTCACACGTGCAAACATGTGCACGACTCCTAGATATACAAGGGAAAAACACACGGGGAAACCAGGTGGGATAAGCAGGTCTTCCTTATGGTGGTCACCCCCACACACACACATTGTGTTTTATGTTTTATGGGGACTTTCCAATAGACACAATGATTTTTATACTGTAAAAACTGTATATGCTATCCCGTTACCCATAAACCCACTCATCACAGAGCATTTTTACATTTTCAAAACACACTTATTAGAAGGCCATGTTTTATAAGCTGTTTTCCTCATGTTTTCCTCAAATTTTTGACATTGCCATCTTTGTGGGGACATTTTGTCCCATAAGGTTTACCAGGTCACACACACACACACACACACAATGGTTGTGACAACAGATTGCGACGCTATCTTTCAGAGCCAGTCAATATCTGTGACGTCACTTACCCTTAAGCATATTAATATGGAAGAATGCTTTACAGATACTCCAAATTGCTGACTCTGAGAAAGGATTGTATTTCGGTATATTTAATGCATCAATGTGGGAAAAGAAAGAGGAAGACAGAGAAGAGAATGGAACAGAGAGAGTGTCAAATGTCACTGAGATGAATTGGAACTGCCACTGCAGCAATTTAAGGCTTGACCTTGAAAGCACAGATGATGGGTTTGTCACGTTACCAAGGCAACAGTGAGCTGAAGTGAAAAGTGTTTAATTGTACCTATTTGACCTCTCATCAAAAATTGACAATAGAGCACACCTGTGTTTGCCAAATTCTTAAACTACTTTGGGCACTGAATACACCTGAGAGATCTGACCAAATACTTCTCCAGAAGCCAAATGGAGCCCAATAAATGAGATTTAAAGGAGTAGTTCACTTTTCAAAAAACTTTTGATGATAATTTACTCACCCCCATGTCATCCAAGATGTCCATGTCTTTCTTTCTTCAGTCAAAAAGAAATTAAGGTTTTTGATGAAAACATTCCAGCATTTTTCTCCATATAATGGACTTCAGTGGGAACCAAACGGTTTAAGGTCCAAAAGACACTTTCAGTTCAAACTGCAAACTGTTCAAAGGGCTTTAAACGATTCCAGACGATGAATAAGGGTCTTATCAAGCGAAACGATCGCTCATTTAATAAATAAATAACAAAGTTTAAGTTTTATAAGCTCAAATGCTCGCCTTGCTCCATTCTGTGATGTGCGTGTGTTACTCTCAATTCGAACTCGTTCATCAAAATGAACGAATCTTTTTCCAAGTCAATTCGTTCGTTTCAAATGACAATTTGTTCGTTTCAAATGAACCAAATGATTCGGAAAAAGATTTGTTCATTTTGATGAACGAGTTCAAACAGGAGCATCACAAACGCACATCACAGAACAGAGCAAGACGACCATTTGAGCTTATAAAACTTTATTTATTTATTAAATGAGCGATCGTTTTGCTTGATTAGACCCTTATTCATCGTCTGGAATCATTTAAAGCCCTTTGAACAGTTTGCAGTTTGTATTGAAAGTGTCTTTTGGACCTTGAACCGTTTGGTTCCCATTGAAGTCCATTATATGGAGAAAAATCCTGGAAGGTTTTCATCAAAAACCTTAATTTCTTTTCGACTGAAGAAAGAAAGACGTGGACATCTTGGATGACATGGGGGTGAGTAAATTATCAGCAAAAGTTTTTTGGAAAAGTGAACTACTCCTTTAAGGTGTTGGTCTGATCAGTTTTCCTGCAATTGTATATTCCCCATTTATTTTCCAGGTAAAACCAACCAGATTTTCTAAGTTATTAAAAATTATGAATGACGATTAAATCATAAATGACAGTGCAACATAAAAGTATAACTATTACCAGAAGTAATGACACACGAGTATACTATTGTTTGAGACTTGTGTTGGGACTTCATTTCATCATTTACAATGCGTTATCAGTGGAAGTTCACTTTTTTGTTGTTGACGGTAGTTGTTGACTCCCTCCTAAAAAAATACTATCACAACTTATTGCAGTTTATGCATATTTATCTATTTAGCATATAGAAGCACACAATCAAAAATAAATGCGATGACATTTAACAGTCTTTGTTCAAACAATATGTAACAATGTCTGCATTGCAGTATTTTGTCACTTAACTTTATAAAGCGAAAAAAGCTTCTTATTCTCTGTGAAAATATTTTTTCTATTTTAATTCTTCTCTCACTCTAGCTCAGTAAAATCTCATTGGTCCAAAATCCTGCTCCTCTAGTTGTATGTTAAACATCAGTGCTCTGATTGGCTGACTATATTGCATCACACAGCATTTTCACTTCCAGCGTCAAAAGATTCATTATTTGCCTGGTTAGGAGACAATATTATGTATTGTTTGTAATGTAACATTTTGCCTAAAATCTTCAAAGTATAAATGCAAAGATACATCTTATAAAATGACTCATACAGCTGTATTATTTGTTTATATTCATGCAGAAAGCAGAACACAGTTTTTCTATTCAATGCTGTTCACATCTGAAACGAGTGTGGGCAGCAGAGGTGAAGTCTGACGTATACGTTTTTGAGATAGACTGATGATTCAGCGCCCTATAGAGTCAGTGTGTAGGATACACTGAATCCAGGTTTAAAGGGGATTAACGGGTCTAATTACCACGAGGGAGCAAAATGATGGATGTGTTTGTCATAAACCCTTGATTCCTGATTTAGCAGTGGAGAGGGTCTGGAAATGTACAGTGCTTAATGACCCTTAATCTTTATTGAAACTCAGTGTGTAGGATGCAGCTCTGGAGAAAAGTGCACTGTGGACTCAATCGCAAAGATGTGGGATTACAAAACACTCTTTTGTCACATTAGTCAATGGTAATTCAACTTTGATTTAATAAACTAATACTTAACACTTCAATACATTCTGTCTATCATTGTGTGACTGTTCTGTAGACAGTACCTGTAATGCCTTTACACAACATTGATTTGGCATTCAGTGCATTCATGCAGGACTTTAAAGGGGTCATATCAAATGGAGGAATCAAATGACCCCATAATCTTTTGACAAAAAAAAAAAAAAACATGTTGTACAAGAAAAACATTGCGACTTTCTGAACTCAAAACATGTTCTTATTTTATCCCTGGATATTTCAGTCTGATCTTAGTAGCATGTATGGCACATTTACACAAAGATGTGTTACATTTACATTAATTAATTTAGCAGGCACTTTTATCCAAAGCAACCTAATAATGAAGTCTTGGCATTATAGGCACCCCTCCGGTAACTTATTTTTTTATAATGATATGACCACTTTTAAACTGAGAAACCAGAATAACAACACCATATACAATCAAGAATAACAGAATTACAATCAGCACATCTCAATTTTATGTGACAACATTTTAATATGATTATAATATTAGGATGCTTTTGAAAACAAACTTCTATTTTACACAGATTTGTTTGATCTATACAACACGAATTATGTGTGCAAAATGTTGATTCATTGCTTTTACAGTAACAGAAAAAACTGCAAAATTGCATCACCGCTCCACTTCTGTCAGACTAAAGGGTACTTCAAGTCTGCTGCACTTCCTCTCCTTTCTCCTTTAGCTCTTGGTTGTACCTACACACACAAATACAAAGTGCGTCACTCCTTGGAGGGATTTTATATGGGTATATGGAAAGTGGCCACCCACCGGCAGAAACATAAAATAGTCATGTCTGTCCACTAACATTTAGGCCTGGTGTCACATTCACCAGCTGGAGTGCCCATAATCTCCACCAGAGGGCATTCCTGTGCTATCATGATCTTCCATTCCCATAACCCATTGACTGGACTCAATACCCTCGCTTTCACAGACAAGGCTTAAACCTAGGCTAGTCCCAGACTAAAATGCAAGTTAGAGCTGTTTTAACTGAAAGCAACTTGCACTGATATCTTAAAATAATCACTTTCATTGTTTTGTCTCAAGATGCACATCAGTCATGTTTTTTTTTTTTCTACGGCATGTTTATAAAAGCTACTTAAATGCCCTAATTGAACCAATTCCTAATCCTGGTTTAGTCTAAGCCCTGTCTGTAAAAACAGGCCATTATGTTGTGTCTTCTTAAGCCCTGCCCATATAAGCCCTAGCTGCGTCTGAAATTTCATACTCTCGAGTAGGTGAGATGGTTCTCACTGCAGAATATGAAATCCATGGGGAGGAGTCGGATCCGGATCCAACTCCTCCCACCTTCGGTATACCTAAACCCACCCCTAAACCTACCCAGCTCCACCCACTGATCCCTGGTGCGTTCACACCGGACGCGAATAGCACATCAGGCGTGAATGATTTCAATGTGTCGATGCAAAGACGCATCACGCGCGTAAAAAAAATCCTGCGGCACGAATGAGACGTAGCGTGGCGCAGTAGATGCGAATACGCGTCATTCGCGCGTCAAGTTCACGCGAATTGAGCGTCTGGTGCGTTAAGCTCGAATAATTTAGTGCTATTTGTGTATTCACGTGTTTGACGCGAGACATCTGCTGCCCGAGTTGAAAAATGTGAATTTTGGCGTCAATTCGCGCCGTGTTAACCAATCAGGAGCCTGCTGCTTGCCCACGTGGTGAGAGACAACAGGGGCACGTTCAAGTTCAAAACGGTGCGCAACGTTTTGCTACGGTTTCCTAGTTGAACGTCATGTTTCCAGGAAACGGTGTGCAACGGGGTTTGAGATATGTTTTCTCTCGTTTGGTGGTGTGTCAGAACTGCAATCCAATCAGCAGCAACATGTATATAAAGCACGCGGTATTAAAGTGAACTCGCACAATGGGTTAAGGAAAATAATTTACAAATGTGTTCAATGCAGATCGATATATGCAACGACTGAGGATATTAGAAGATATGTTTGTCGTTTATTGTAAAAATATAGGATATCAACATGAGTATGCAAGTGTATGACAATTGGTATAGAAATAAAAAATGGTAAGTGCTTTTCCTAAAAATGAGAAAGAAAATAGGTTATTAAAACATTATGAAATACAAATAAAGTTAGTGTGTGAGGCTAAACAGAATGTGTTTTAGTCTGAATTAGGTAAGATGTGTCCTTTCAATTTCCACAAATCCCTTCACTTGATTGGGATGTTCTCTTGTGTTCTGGGCGGCAAGTGCAGTTACTGTTACATCGGGTATATTTTGTAATATTAAACACATATTTATACCGACTTCATCAGGCTCCGAAAATTCTTCACAAAGAACACAGACACAGACACAGACAGCCTTATCGGGCTCCATAGTTGCAACTCTTGCGTCATCAGAACGGGGTGTTCAACGCATCACCGTTTCTGTTTAAAAAACGTTGTGCAACGTTTGTCCGGGCTGAACGCAGCCCAGGTCATCAAACTGGACGCGGGACAGGCGGAAGTACTGCTGACAGCGGCCGTCATTCAGCGCAGCTCCTAAACAGCGGCTCCTAAATCAACCACTAAACAGCGAATGAATTGGAAAAACACCCTTTTGATAAACAATGTCTCTGAACAATAGTAAATAGAAGTACTAAAATAGAATATTAAATATTCTATATAAATATACTAAAATTTTCTATTATAAATATACTAAATATTACAGTAAATGCTTGTACCGTAATATTCACAAAAATATTATATATAAAAAATAAATGCCCTAATGCCCAAGGCAAGTGTGATAAACAAAAACGTTTTTTTTTTTTTTAATTTGTGTGAATGAATATTACGGAACAAGCACTTATGAGTCATTTGATGTTTAATTTAAAAAACTGAGTCAAACTGTCCGTGTTGGTGAATAAATTAAATAAATAAATAAATAAAAATAAGATTATAGCTTGATTATCTTTCAAAATACTGAAGCTTTTGATGATGCTACTCCATGTGAGCATTCTAGATTTTCTGACAGATTAATGCTCTGAAGAAAAAAATAATATGCGTTTAAAAATGACACATTTAACAGCTTAAATATTTTTTGTTGGTATCTTTGTTGACCTCCAAACCATTGAACTCTAAATCTTTGCAGCTTAACCCTACAACTAAGCTTGTCACCTGTGTGTATTTACTGATGGTAGTAAACAAATCTGACCTTAGAACAGAAATCATAATGACTAACCTCCATATCCTAAAGAGCTGGACGGTTCCACATACGCCCAGGAAGAAGTTAACAGCAAACAGAGCCCAGTTCTTGGGAATGATCACCAAGCAGTACCTTGACCAAATTATTCCTGGAAAGAAACCAGAGGGAGTCGCTGTGTTTAAATAAAATCCTTATTGCAGAAACAACACTGTATGTGGGTAAAGTGGGTTAAAGGAGTAGTTCACTTAAAAAAAAAAAAACATTTGCTGATAATTTACTCACCCCCATGTCATCCAAGATGTCCATGTCTTTCTTTCTTCAGTCGAAAAGAAATTAAGGTTTTTGATGGAAAACATTCCAGGATTTTTCTCCATAATGGACTTCAATGGGAACCAAACAGTTCATGGTCCAAAAGAAAGTTTCAGTGCAAACTGTTCAAAGGGCTTTAAACGATTCCAGACGATGAATAAGGGTCTTATCAAGCGAAACGATCGCTCATTTAAAAAACCCAACAAAGTTTAAGTTTTATAAGCTCAAATGCGCGTTCGTGACTCTCCTGTTCGAACTCGTTCATCAAAATGATGAATCTTTTTCAGAGTCAATTTGTTCATTTCGTTCGTTGAATAAACCAAATGACACGAAAAAAGATTTGTTCATTTTGATGAACGAGTTCGAACAGGAGAGTCACGAACGCGCATCACAGAACAGAGCAAGGCGACCATTTGATCCATTTGATAAAACTTGGTTTTTAAAAATAAAAAGAGTGATCGTTTCGCTTGATAAGACCCTTATTCATCGTCTGTAATCGTTCAAAGCCCTTTCAGCAGTTTGCACTGAAACTGTCTTTTGGACCTCGAACCGTTCCCATTGGTTCCCAATGAAGTGCATTATATGGAGAAAAATTCTGAAATGTCTTCATCAAAAAACTTAATTTCTTTTCAACTGTAGATAGATTGAAATGCGGTGAGTAAATTTTTAATTTTAAAGTTAAAAAAAAGTTTTTAAACAGTTATGTTGAGATAAAAGACAACCAGTCTCAGAAATGCTTTGTCAGAGTCAGAAAGACAGACACAGAGATAATATTTTACTGACTGTCAAACTAGATATACCACTCAGACATTTAGTATAGTTCATTTTTTTTCAGCCAAACTAATCTCAGGTTACAATGAGGCTTTAGATGAGATATTCTAATCTAGAGGACACTGACAACAGCTACTGATGTTGATTAGTCTTGACCAAACAACATCGAGCATGTCTCTCCACCTTGAACGAGTACTGTACCTGTGCTTGTAATGACGCAGGACTGAGAGAAACTGAGCTTTTCTGGTGGCCGGGTCATATCAGAAAATCCAGCCACAACTAAACCCTGCATGAGGAAAGAAAGAGCAAACAAGAGTGGGGTTGCCATGAGTCCTTGGTCTGTAGGAAATCCATGATGTGATTGCATTTACTGCAGCATTACAACATTTCGAAATGCAAAATATTTACGGCCAATGTGCAAAGTTTAAAAGTATAGTTCACTCAAAAAGAATCCTTATCACCCAAATGCCTTTACAAACCAGTGGCTGACAAGGTCAAAAAAGTTGCACAAACGTAGTATGTGACTTCCACCTTACATTATGGACATCTTACAAATCCATAAAATTGTTTTGTGTAAGAACTAGAAAAATGTAAAACAGAAGGTGGTAAAAGGCTGTATATTTGAACATTTGTGTATATTTAAACAAACAATTCTCATCTCACCCATTTAAAAACAGGCGCCCAGAAGAAAACAGTCTTTGGCCCTGAGAAGAAAAAAAAGAGAAAAGATTCTGTGAGAAATTAAGACTGAAAATGCTGGAGTTGCACTATTATGGATAAATTGAGAATCAAAAATTTAAAAAATCTAAATAAACATCACAATTGTCCCATAATTCTGAATTGAAAACTAAACAAAATATGTAATTTACTAAAATATCAAATGAATTATTATTATTTTTTAAATCGATTGAAATTAATGATTCAATGACTCACTTCACTTGTTTTATTAATGGATAAATCACCATTTTTGAACTGAACTCATGAATGATTTAATGGAAAATACATTACATACAATACATACAATCTAATTGATACAATCATTATTTTGAAGTGTCAAGATCCTGTCAAACATGATTTACTCTCGGGCTGCACAATTAATCGCAATTTGAAAAATGCTTGAACAGATAAGGTGCACCTAAAAATGTCATGCAGTATATGATCAGAAACTATCACCCAGGAGCATTGGAGTAGTCTTAAGCTTTAAACTTTAAGAGTGCATTTACATGACAACAATGTAGGCTACTTAAAACGAATCAGTTTGTCCTTTGCTTTATTCACGTACAGATGATAATGTTGTCAAAACAATTCCCGAACACGCGCATACGCTAAAACGACTAAAGATGCTGTATGCACGCCAGGCCAGTCGTTGGTGTGTCACTATGTGCCTATAGACTGGAAAACATAATATGCATGATGTCACGTTTACATAAATTAGCATCTTTGTAGTTTGCGCTGAGACAATATTGTTTTCAAAAACTTGCACTATAAATCAAATTAAAATTTGGCGCCCGTTTACACACTGTTTTCAACTAAAATCAGTTAACTTTGCATGCATTATGGCCATTCATTTATATGACGACACGTTTTTAGGGCCTGAAACTGCAAACGGTGACGACGTAAGACATGGTAAGACATGCTCCTGGATCAACATATTTTGTTGACATTCCTGTCCCAAAATGTAGTCCTTACCCAATCCCTACCCCTAAACCTGTCCCTAAAATCAGAGGCTAATGAAAGGTGAATAACACTGATGTTTAAGTACTTCACCCTGGTTCTAAGCCTAAACTTGACAACTGTAAACTTGTCCCTCAAATTTGATTGGTTGATTGGAAAGATGATCCAGGATCAACAGAGATGTTGATCCAGGAACATATGGTACTTGGTGAAATCAGGTTCACCATAGTGGGTTTCTTTACAAAGTGACATCACCAAATAGAAAACCAGGTCTATGTGATTATGGTGAACAGGACACCAACACAATGTAGGCTACATGATTAGTGGGACAGAAAGATGCACATAGACTAGCTCATTCAAACTGTAAAAGCCTTTGATACTTAAAGCAGACTTAAAATGTATGAATTTCGAAATTGCAGCTGCAAACATCCTATCTTTTCTCAGAACTCACAGTTCTCTCAGCCATTTTGTAATCCCAAGGTTATTATGGATGTATGAAGTTCATTTGGATAGTTCATATAGCCTAGATGTCTTCAGTTATGTCTAATGTTTCATTTTTAAAGGTAATTTGTTAGCATGAAATATTTGCGTGAAAGGTGTGCAATCAAGTATCTCCAAATTCTTTTTGGGGCCACTGTATGACCGCATGATAAATAACATCATAACACTGCGGAGATAATATAGAGAAGATACTATAGAAAACAGTGTTGTAGTCGAGACCACCTCACTCGAGTCCGAGTCGACACTGAGACCAGAGAGAGTCGAGTCCGAGACCAGAGACGGTCGAGTCCGAGTCGAGACCGAGACCAGTGAGGGTTGATTACCTAATTTACTTTTATTTACTTAGAGAAATCCTCTTTTTTTTTTACTGAATTTACTTAGAGTTTAAAAAATCTGCAGTTTAGGGTTAAAAGGCCACATAGTAGGTGGTGTTAAAAGTAATTTTATTACAATTTGTCATGCGCAGTTGAAAATCTAGAAAATCACCAATCACTGAGCATGTCAATCAATTTAAAGAAATATTTTATTAACATACATTAATAATCATGAAAAATATTTTGAATTGAACTCGAGTGGACTCAGGAATAATTCCGAGTCCTAAAAAAAAAATGTTCGAGTACGAGTCAATTCCGAGTCCAAATGGACACGAGTCCATGACAAGACCAAGACCATTAAAATATGGTCTCGAGACCGAGTCCGAGTCTCGAGTACTACAACACTGATAGAAAACATTAATTATAAATGCTTCAGAATAAGAATAATACAATAATTAGACAATGACTGACTGGTGTGTTTGTTCAGGCAGGAAAAGAGTAATGTCTTTACCAGCAGGATGATTGTAGATGGGTCTTAATTTAGGCGGCAGCATTAACTCGATCCTGTCCAGGGTCCGGTGATACGACGCTCTCAAACCACCGGAATAAAAACGACATGATTGCAGTCGTAAAAGTCTGCTGCTGCTCATGCTCTTTCGATGCAGTAACCACAGCACAATGTCTATGGGAAGTTAGGTGCGCACCTTCTGTCCACCCTTCGAGACGACCTATCACAATGTCACCATCACTGAAAACACGTTTTGGTGCCAGGCAGCGAGCCTACACAGAAACACAAACAATGAGATACGTGAAAAATACACTGAGAAATGAAGGATTGATTGAATAAATGACCAATCTTTTACCCTACATGTATTCTAAAATGGGCTCGTAGGTCTCTACTTGGAAAATGTGGTCATATGATCTATTAATAGGTAACCTAGTTGAATATTAAAGCGACTGTGCGCACTGCTCGTCAAAAAGTACTAACAGCTTCTGTCCAGCAGATGTCACTGTCGCTCAGAGAGTGAATTTGGAGCAGAAAACGGTTCATATCTTTAAATAATCCATGGTATTAAATCTCATTTTTCACCATATTACTTGATTGCTAATATTATTTTTGATGGTCAGATTTTAATAAAAATTGCATGAATAGTGCTTATTTAAAGATAATATATAAGCTATATATACATTTTTAATTAGATTATTATTGTATATAATGCTAATTTTGGTTTAAAAATCAATTTATGCATACTCTCAGAAATTACCTATTATGCAACCTTGACACAGTCAAATGGTTTAAATTAGAATTACTGTCTTTGCATGACTGCTACATAGCACAATAGTGAAACTGTACATTTTAAAGTGTTATTATAAACCATGTACATTTTACACTTCCCCAAATATAGCATGGGATGGTGGGTCACATCTTTACTTTTTTTTTTTTTTTTTTTTTTTACTTTACTTAACATCTTTTAGTGAATGGGTACACTGCCTATACCTGGGCTCACTGAATTCACTTGGCAGCTCTGAATGTGGTAGGCCTAAATGTGAAAATAATGATTAAATGCTATTTTGCATATTACTTAGTATGAAAAACAAATTATGCTCTAATGTATGGTATCAAAAAACAACTAGATCAACATCCTTCTGTATCTGTATTCGTAAAAAATAATAATCACATTAAGTGCAAAAGACAAAGAAATGCTTTATGCATGCATGTGGTTTGTTGGTTTTGTTTGCATGTAACACTCAGGAATTTTTTTGTGTTTTATTCCTTAAGTTCCCCTTTAATAACAGTAAATAAACACTTAACAGTAAGTTGTTATGCAATATCTGGCACTTATGTAATTCATGTAACTGTGGGGAAAACAAAGCCACAGTTGAAAGATTGATCGTAACCATAAATCTTAACTTTAATACTTTGAAGTGATATGTTTTTATAAAGGAGAAGTTCTAACAGAGGTATCAATAATTAATTATCTACTGTTAAAAAATAGCAGATCAGAAAATTTTGAAAGATTGATCACAATTCAATTACAATACTTTAAATTACAATAGGCCTACATGCAAAACGGACTTATTTCATGAGAGATTTTATAAACAATTTGCACAAATTTATAACAAAAATATTGTTCAGTGATTAGTTGCAACTTGCAATGAAAAAAAAGGCATAGAGAATTTAATCTGGTATAGCTACTCTAACACCAACTAAAAGGGTTAAATTTACCTGTGGTGACAGATGTAATTTCACATTTGGCTTGAAAATGATTTATGATCTGTTAATGGATGTTGTTTAATTTGACAAAACATCTCAAAACCTAAGTGTAAAAAAAAAAAAAAAAAAAAACTTTTCAAAGGAAAAAAAACTGTAACACATTCCAATATACTGTAGGCTATACTGTCTCTATACTGTGCTGGACATTTATTCACACACTTTAGGAATAAGTAGAAGATTTTTAAACTACTTTAATTTGTAGCTCACTAATATTGGAATATTATTTTGAGGTTGAGACGCACAACATGACACACCCAAATGCTGGCCCCCAGGCTTTTACAGTAAACAAAACGTTTAAACATTCCCAGGTTTTCCCTAGAAATGTTTATACAAATTTTAAAAATGGGAAAGTCTCAATGAATAAGCAATAGCACAAGTATTCAATATAAGTTTCATTTCTATTAAATTAATTAGCATTAGCAAAAGTCTGATGTGAAAAATAAAGTCACGTGGAGGCAAAGTGACAGGGTGACATGTTTTCCCAGGACATGTCCTGTTTTGACGTCCTGGCCATCCTGGCTGATTTTTATAAAATGATGAAAATAGCCTGGTTTTCAAAAAAAAAAAAAAACTGCTGGGAAAAATCAGCTCTACAGCAAAGATGGGAGAAAAACAGGATAAAGAGGAAGAAAACGATACAAATATTTTGTTAGTTTGTTTTTGTAAGTTTGTGAGAGCTATTTTTGTTCAATTTGAAGGCATTTCTTTAAGTTATTTATATATTTATTTTTCTAATATGAAGAAACATTATGTGACATTATGAGACATTTTGTGTCTTGTAATGTAACAATTTTCTATCCATACAGAGGAGGCATATAGCCTACTTTAAATGTATTGAAATTAATAAGGCATCTCTGAGTAAACGTCGAGTATCGTTGAGTATCTATTTCGGGCCGATCGAGTGTCCTGGTTTTTGGTAATCAAAATATGGTCACCCTACTACAGTAATTCAGAGCCTGTTCCGGTTTATTTTTAAACAGGAAGGCTTTAATTTTGACATCGACTTGAGGTCTGATTCACACTGCAGTCACGAAAAATATCCCTAATCATGTCATGTGTTTGCCGAAACTGATGAGTCACACACGGAGTAGTATCTCGTGTTGTGTTACTGTAAGAGCTTGATTAATGCTCGTGGGTTCTGGATTACTTATATTCGCTCAAGACAACGCTACGTTACGGATGTGGATTAATTGTGAAACTTATAAGAGGCAAGACATTCAGTGTCGGTTACATCCTTAATTATTCAATTACTAATCACACAATGGTGAAAATGTAGACTGTGTATTTATTGAGATGATCTTGACATTGCATAAAAAATATACTATTTTATAATATAAAATAATAATATAATATTAAAATATAGGCTACAAGGCCTATATGTAAAAGCGGAAGTGTTTTTATCACGAGTCACGCAGCCTACTGTAGGTGTTTATTTCTGTGGAAAGTCCGGGATAACCCTGCCAGAAAATCCCGGAAATTATTAAAATAGTTACTAGATGGATGGATGGATGGATGGATAGATAGATAGATAGATGGTTTTTCTAAAATGCAAAAGATCAGAAGAGTTCAACACAAACCTAAAATATGACAAAACATTGAAAAACTTTTAACACATCCACTGGACGCAAAAAAAGTATTTGGACATTTATGTTTGTTGCATTATTAGCAGATGTAATCTTATAAAAACATTACAAAGAGTGTACATAACAATATGAACGTTATTGTGAATATTATGCAACAATTATATATATATATATATATATATATATATATATATATATATATATATATTTAATAAAACCTAAATGCATGTCTTATCCTGAATACATGTCTGACTGTTCATTTCACCGTAGGCCTACACCGTAATAGTTTCAAGGAAAAACGAAAGGATTTAAATCAGATTATGCTCCAGATGTCAAACATAAAATTCCCCTTTTTATTTTAACTGGAAGTTGGGGGGATGGCCCAGATAAGCTGTGGCTATATGTATCTGTTCATAGATTGAAACCTGACTATTTTAAAACATGCTGCGCCTTCTGATCATATTAAGTTTGCTCAGAAGAGGTCGGTAATTGACTTATTTTTATGGCTAAATCTGAAACTGCTCTGGGTGGATGTTGCTAAACTGGATGGAGATGGTGGGATGCTTATAACAACATCATTTTTTTTTCATTCCACAGCTTATCTTTCAGATATTGTAGCACAAGGAGACACAGATGTTGTGTTGGGTCAGGATGCTTCACTCTCTTGTACGCTGCCGTTCGTGTCTGGAGTCAAACAAGTCACCTGGCAGCGGGTGCGCACGCACAAAGATGTACAAACTCTGGCAACATTCAGCGAACAATTCCAGGATAATGTGCTTGAGGACTATGTGGGAAAAGTCACTTTAACTCTGGCGACATTTAATTCAACAACTATTACTATCAAAAACACAACATTTGATGACGAGGCTTGCTACATTTGTTCCTTCAAAGTGTATCCGTCAGGACCCAAACGAAAAACCTTGTGCCTCACTGTTAAAGGTAGGTAAATACCTACAACCAAACTAAGGGAAATCACTAAGGTTATCTATCAGAAACACAAGGATTCCTAGCCTCAACTACAACTACAATGTTTTAGGGTGAAAGTAGACATTGTACACATGCAGGCAGCTAATGAAGACCATAGACTGGCATGCAAATGTGTTGCAAACCTTCATGCAGGATGTAATATAAAACTGAATTTACTGATGACTCATTGTTCTGTCTTTTGGGAGACAAAAACTCCTGTTATTATTAACTTTTGATCTTTGAAACTTTACAGACCTTTTATTATGCCCATAATAGGCACTCTTTATTTGCTTTTTTGTAGTCGATACTTGAAGGGTAATTTACAAAAGTAAACCCTGAAAAATATTCCCTGGAGTAAAAAAGTGAACGCTAGCTCCACTAATTGGTCAATAAGATCCGGAAAGTATGGCAACAGTATGTGTTGTGTAAGTGTCAAACAAGCACTTTCATCCAAGATAATGCAGATATGCCCAAACTCATAAGGGATCGTTTGAATCATAAGGTACACAGGGATCTGTTCCAGAAAAATGAAAGCAAATGTCAGGATCATTGGGTTAAGAATTTTAATAGACATTTTGAGCTTTGGATGTTACATAATTTATTGTTTAGTGCTAAAAGATTGTACTTAAGTAATTATGTTTCTGGTATTTTCCAGGTATCACAGAAATAACCGCAAAAGTGAATCCTTCACCCACTTCTGATTCAGATGTCATAGTTTCATGTTCAGCCACTGGTAAACCAACTCCAACAATCCAGTGGAAATCATCAGAGACAGAAATGAACTTCTTCAGGTCAAATAATTTCACTAACCTCAACGAAGACGGTTCAACCACCTTTACAAGTAACATCACAATTCCACTGTCACAGTTTCATGGGAAGTACGTGGAATGTTTGGCTCAGAGTGACAGCGTGGAGAAGAGGTTTCAAATTTATGTGCCTAAAGATAATAATAAAGGTAACATGATTTGACTTATTAGACGTTAGTGTTTGGATGGGGATTAAATGGGTTTGGGATTGTTTATGGGATTAAAAACTGCATGAGCTAATAACAAATTAATATTATAATTTCATAATTAAACTAAACAAGATGCATTTTCATATTTAAAATGAAATGATCTTTATCAATACTTACATGAAAAATATAATTTTTTTTTTTTACAGAAAATAATGTCACATTAAGAAAGTATATAATTCCGATGTTTGTCGTGGTTATCTTCAGTATTGTCATTATTGCCTTCTACCTTCACACAAAGTTAAATGGTAAGCAGAAATATATTACTTTCTATATTACTTCACATTTATTGCAATAAAGAACAGTGTTGCTAATTGTGTATGTTAATCATTTCTTCTTTTTTTTCAGATAAAAATCAGAAATCTGCTTGTACAGCATGAACTTCTGGTCATCTGCCACTTTCTGCAGAATATTTGATAGGCTGCTTTTGTACTCTGCTACAATAATAATAAAAGTGAATAGTTTACTTTTGTGAATAAGCTAATAATAATATAATTGTATAAATATCTGTTCACCTGAAAGTCTGTATTTTTCCACAAACAGTTACATTCTGCACCTGCACTTTAAGGATTTAACTATTTGTTCTTTCTACCTAACATTTTATTTATTGTTGTGAGTATTGTAAATTGCATTTTGAAAAATTATGTTACAGCAAGCTGTCTTTGACAATAGACTATATTTTAGGTCACCTGTCAGTAATGCTATTCCAAGTTTTCCAATAAAAATTGGTTGTTGGACCCAAACATTCAGTTATTGATGGCTAAAGTGTATTGTATGTTACATGGAGATAGTAATAACTTTAAATTATGCATAATTATATGCAACTGACCCTAAACCAAACCACACCCTAATCCTAACCCTACAGTGATATGTTACTTAATATTCCCCAGTACTTAGATGTATCACAGTGTAACAAAGACCATAATTCTTATGAATTTCCTTTGTGCATCATTTGCCTATTTGGTACCTATGCATGCTCCGTATTCATTCTAAGGAAAAGGATAGGTCTTGTAAATAATACATGGCCTCATGCTTCAATGACACATGCATTTGGGCTGGCATTCAAGCTAGTGACATCCATTCCTGTGTGTCACAATCAGTTTATCCTGAAAGAAAATCCTCAAAAGTAACCCTGTAGAATGAATGGTTTCATTTTCTTTCATCGCAGAAGAAAGTTTCAGTTTCCTCCATCGGCAATGCATCAGTAAACTCCTGTAAGACAATACAAAAAAAGTAGAGTATATTCCTTCTTAATTATTTTTTTAAAATAAGGAATGAACACAGAATGAAATTAAAGTTTTTATTCACTGAAAGTTTAGCATTCCCTCTCATTCACATTCAAACCTGCATCATCAAAGCATAGTTCGCCCAAAAATGAACATTTTTCTAATTTACTCATGCTAATTTATTTAAGTTTATGACTGACTTTCTTCAGATACAAACAAATTACTTAAACATAGGAGAATAATCCATCTCTGTATGCTCAGACAGTTGTCATTTTAAATAAACCACACAGCTCATGATAACATCAAATTCAGAAACAAAGAAAGTAAAAGTGTGGACTAGTTGTGCTTTGCTTTACTATTTTCGCAAACTGCATGCAAAAAGAACAAACAAAATTGAAAAATAATAATAATAATCTAAGAATATTTCCAGATGAGGCAGAGGAGGTAAAATCCTAATAATGTAAATATTTTAGGTATTTTTATAATAATAGTTGTATTTTGTATTTTCCGAAGACTGTCATTTAGCCATTGTGTTTCTCACAGTATTTTGCCCCCGACCATCTAACTGACGCTTTTGAACATGCTTCAACATCCGACGCTTTAGGCACCCTTTAGATGTTAGATGACGCGGGTAGGTTTAGGTCTCGCGCGTCATCTAACTGATGCTAAAGGGTGCCTAAAGCGTCAGTTAGATGATGCATGGTCAAATTAAAAGCGTCAGTTAGATGGTCAGGGGGGCATGCTCCCCAGGAAGAAAAGTTTGAACGTTTTTAAGATAAATTCATAAATCTGGTGCACTTAGAAAGTTCAAAATTAAGCGATTAAGTAATTTAGTGTCTGCAATGAGCCTGTTTTGTAGTAGGCTACACATATTTTCTGAGCCAGAGAGGGAGAGCGCTCACTGCTTGCTTAGTGTTTTCAACCATATAATGTTTATTTTAGGTTTCAGACATTTAAATTCATATAAGTAACTACCAAAAAAGCAATACATTTAGAGTTTGTCAAATACACACTTGTTTATGGTCTATGGAAGCGGAAATAATAATTATTTCCATTATAATTAGAGACAACACAAATTATTCATATCAATACACATTGTGTAAGTAACTTTCAAGTTTACTCTATGCTTCTCCCAGTTCACCGGCCACTTACTTTCATGTATTTCGGGAGAAGTGGATACATTGACGTTTGTTAAATCCAACAGATTCGATTCTTTAAAATGCGGCATAAACTAACGCCCATCACGTATAGCTCAACTAAGATGTTTAAACAACAAAACACATCCACATGCTCATATTTGACATGAGCGGAATATCAGCTATTTCCCACTAGCCAACAAATTTTTGAAATAAAAGTAGAAAATCAGGTGTGACAAGCAATGATGCATCACCATGGAAACCATAAAGGACATGGTTGTTGTTTTGTTTTGAGTTTATGCTCAATAAATAAAGAAACTAATAGAGATGGGCAAAAATTACAACATTTGTTTGTCGCGTCCCACTTGTCATGTTTCTATTCCCCACCAGTGGGGTGCACTTTGAGAAACACTGGCCAAGTGAAATTCGTATTTTTAACTATAAATCATTTGCTGCCGGTCAATATAAGTGTTCACGAGAGGGACAAGAGTTAAAATATATTCAAATATAAAATATGTTTTTCTTACATCATTTCGCTTCAAAAGATATTATATAGGCTAACGGGCCGCGTTTATGTCACCATTGCTGTGTGCGTTTTTTCAAGAGTATTTTTTCCTAAAAATCTTTTCTTTGTGTTTATATGAAGAAAGAAAGTTGAGGATGGCGCGATCGAGGGTGGATTAAATATTGAGAAAATTTTCATTTTTGGGTGAACTGTGCCTTTAATAACGCATAAGAACTTTTTTATTAAAAGAACATGCCGATTTTTTGGGACTTTAGCTAGTCACCGTACCCCGTCACCGTACCCCCCACCCTTTTCATCTCCGTGCGTGCTGTAACTATGTTTGACGTAGCCTAGCTGTGAGAAATTGAATATACAAACCATTTATTTGCTAATTCGTTTCTGGGAAATGTGAGTCCTGTTTAACATGGACTTTTCCTCCCCAATAGTGATGGCTCATTTTACAGTAACAATGGAATTCCAAATATCCGGCCATTTAAATAGGAAACTCCGTCATAAAATAGATCTTAAATCTGCCCCTCCCCGTACGTCTCGTGTAAATTTTTGCCTCACTCACAACCAGTAATAGGTACGTCATTGGAATTTTTCCTTTCACTTTCAAAATTAGGACTAGCCTATATATGTGTGTCTCATTACAAACGGACCATGCCAAACATTCGACATGTTTTCTCTGTTGAACTTGATCCTAATTTTAAGCTTCATAAACAGAGGTTAGTAGGCTAATGAGAATTCTACTTCGCATTAAATACATTGGATTTCTTTTAGGACAAAACTGTGTTAAGCTTCTAAACTAACTTGTATTATTATTATTTCATTCCACAGCTTATCTTTCAGATATTGTAGCACAAGGAGACACAGATGTCGTGTTGGGTCAGGATGCTTCACTCTCTTGTACGCTGCCGTTCATGTCTGGAGTCAAACAAGTCACCTGGCAGCGGGTGCGCACGCACAAAGATGTACAAACTCTGGCAACATTCAGCGAACAATTCCAGGATAATGTGCTTGAGGACTATGTGGGAAAAGTCACTTTAACTCTGGCGACATTTAATTCAACAACTATTACGATCAAAAACACAACATTTGAAGACGAGGCTTGCTACATTTGTTCCTTCAAAGTGTATCCGTCAGGACCCAAACGAAAAACCTTGTGCCTCACTGTTAAAGGTAGGTAAACATTAGCCTAGTGGTGATACCAAGGTATAGTCATGTTTTTAGTAATATTGTTTGGTATATGGGCTGAATAAATGCAGCAGTTTGTATTTGAATTCAAATTTCAACAGCATTGTAGTAGCACTCTTAAAAGAAAAGGTTCTAGAACCTTAAAATGTTCTATCAGCGCTACTGTACGTATTTAGAACCCCCTAAAATGTTCAATACAGAACCCTTTTTAAGTCTTCAATAATAAGAACCCTTTTAGGGACCAGAAAAAAACAGGAAAAAAGGTTAATACCTTTTGGGTTCATTCATTAACATTTGTTTAGTCCTTTCTGGATTAAATATTTCATATTATCGACAAACATAAAAATGATTACTAAATTCAAATGATATGGGGGTTAGAAAATGTACATTTATATAATTTTATGTAGTTAATCAATATCACATGAAGAGTGCTATTTCAGTTTTTTGCCTCCAAAAATCAGCATGATTAAAATGTGATATTAAGTTACTACAACAAGTTTAATAAACAATAATTTAATTACAACAACAAAATGTTGCAGAATAATATGAATAAATAATAGCCTATAAAGAACCTTTGTGTCAAAAGGGTTCTTTCTTGTCATTATAGAACTTTTTTAGCATAAAAGGTTCTTTGGAGTTAAGTAAAGAACCCTATGCTTCATGTATAGAACCCCAATGAGCCCTTTTTTCTAAGAGTGTACTATCTTGTATCTGTATCTTGTACCTGTATGTCTCAATGGAACCTGCAAAAACATTAAGCAAACTTATTTTTAGAAGTTTTTCTAGTGATGTACAGTAGTAATATTTAGTGCTTTTACCCTTAAAATCCCATTGGGGACAATTAATTTGATTTATTTAAAAAAAAAAATACTTCTCTTGATCTGAGCGGTACAAGCCTTGGTGGCTTTTCCTTGCCACCTGAACACACACACAAAAAAACCCATCATTATCTTTCTGGTATTTTCCAGGTATCTCAGAAATAACAGCAGAAGTGAATCCTTCACCCACTTCTGAGTCAGATGTTGTAGTTTCATGTTCAGCCACTGGTAAACCAACTCCAACAATCCAATGGAAATCCTCAGAGAAAGACCTGAAGCACTTTACTTCAAAGAATTTCACAACGCTCAACAAAGACAGTTCAACCACCATTACAAGTAACATCACAATTCCACTGTCACAGTTTCATGGGAAGTTTGTGGAATGTTTGGCTCAGAGTGGCAGCGTGGAGAAGATGTTCCAAATCTACTTGCCTCAAGATGATGAAGGTAACAGCTTCAACATGGATATCGGCTAGAATCGCATTAAAGGGATACTCCACCCAAAAATGAAAATTCTGTCATCATTTACTGTCATCATAAGTTGTTGCAAACCTGAATGAGTCTCTTTCTTGGAATCGTTCTTGGAACAATTGGAACTTTTCGCACCATTGACTAGATTTGCACCATCTACTATGGAAGTCAATGGAGCCAAACAACTGTTAGGTTCCAATCGTTCTTCAAAAAATATTCCTTTGTGTTCAGCAGAAGAAAGAAACTCATACAGGTTTGCAACTTGTGAGTAAATGATGACAGAATTTTCGTTTTTGTGTGGAGTATCCCTTTAAGAAAAACATGTGCAGTTGTTACTTTCTACCTTTACAGTCACTTGATTCATACTAAATATAGTTGATATAGGTAAAAACAACAACAACAATAAATTTAGATGTTACAACATTTTTAGTTAAGCCAATTAAGCTACGCATTCATTGTTGCCATTTTGACAGTTTTTAACTGCAATACTTTTTCTCAGTATTTAATCAAAAAAATATTTTCTTGTCTTACAGCGAACAACACTACACCAAGAAGTTACATCATTACATTTTCAGTCATCATCGTCATGGCTATTGTGATTACTGTCATTTGTGTCATCTATCTTCACCCCAAGCTAAAGAGTAAGCTGCAAAATTCTATCCCTCTAGTTTCAAATGGTTAATGCAACCCCACATACTGTCATTTATTAAGAACAGCATCTCAAAAACAAACTAATTTAATCATTTCATTTCTCCCCACCAAGGAGCCAGTTCTGGGATGAAATCCCTTCATGACCCTAACGAGCGATGTTAACTCTGCAGCTACCTCATAGAATGCTTCTTCTTTTATTTATTTATTTTATTTGCTCATCATCTTTATGAATGTGAATTTTTATGTTCCTTAAAGGAATCATGCACTATCTTGTCTAGTATTTATATAATTTATTTTTGTTAACGTATTATTTTTCATAATTATGGATGTTTAAATGTGTTGTATTGCATTAATATAGTTTAATAAGTGTAATAATACATATTTTCCACAATGTCAGCATATTTTGACCACAGAGAATGGCTGTAAGACAGATAATTCTCATTCTGTAAGTCATGTGACCTATGCATTTGCACTTTAAGACCTAATTTGTTGAATGTACTGCTTGAATGTAATGCAATTCCTCTGGAGTTGAGAATGTAACAGTTATTTATAAATTCATAAATGAAAGTTTTGATGTTTTCATGATGTCATTGTATAAATTATGTCAAACCGAGAATCTGGTGAAAAACAAGGTTTTCAACATTGTGAAACAAAGAGAAAGTTTTGTCATTATTGGACACAGAAACTGTTTTGTGGTTTCCTGCTGCAGGAAACTCTGAAGCCTGCAGAGAGATGACTTTGTTACTATTGTTAGAATTTGTACTATTGCTATTTTCTCATTGCAGAAAGATTACTATTATTTTGTTACAGTATTGTATGTATGTTACATTATATGTCTAACCAGCAACTGCATTGAAAAATTAAAATTAAAAATTTCTATGCGTAAAATGGAAAAAGTGTGGCAAACATGGACATTTATGCAGGGCACATAAATGATGTCAACAAATTATTAAGTGTTAGATAACAAAACTAAAAATAGCATATGTAAGATTAATCATCTTTCTGAAATCACCTTATATCAGTGTTATATGAGTAATTCTAGTTTAAAAAAGTCTATAAAGTTCTGAGTATTCATAACATTGGAGATTTGGAAAAAAAAGAAGTGAAGTGAAAAGAAAGGTCAACTGGTCTGGTTGAACTGAAAATGTAACCACTTGCTAGCAGTAAATGTAGGCATGATTCCTGTACAAGGTCGAAACCTAGACAACTTGCAGTATCAAATAAGTTAATTTCAAGTTTTTGTTCCCTCAAATGACGAACATGTAACTTTCAGACAGTTCTTTGCTGCCTCTTTTTTCAGCAGCCACGTGGTCTGTGATTGTCTCAAATGATGTAGCAGTGCTGCATCTGCAAAGTTCAAAGGAAGTCCTCTCGAAGTGGTTCGAGCTTCAGACAAACTTCAGGTAGCCATATTCAAGTTAGCCATTTTCTTCTGACTAACTGAAACATGCAGATCTTTCACCCGACTTCAGTGTTTCTTACAATGGTTGTTCTCTGCAGTCTGCTATCGTCTCTAGCAGGGGGTAAGTCTCACTTCTCAACTAAGTATTATGTATATAAATCAAACACATTTGTTTTTAATGAAGCTTTCCCAGCAAACAGCAAACTTTCTGCCTAGGTTCAAAGTTACAAACAAATGTTCTTCCGTAATAGAATGTTAGTTCAAAGTTATCTTTAATAACGTCATCGAAAATGAGCACAAAAGTGTTGTTTACATCAATGCATGAAACGTTTTTCTGAAACATTTTAGTTTAGACATTTGTCAAATGTTTATTAAACGTTACTACTTTTTTCAGATGGTCCAAAGAACGTTGAAAAATTAATAAAAAAAACTTCTCGATTTGATCATTTTGCAAGTAAATGGCATTCATCAAGAACAGAGATTGTTATTTTTAGGTTTTTTTTTTAACATTCTGACAATATTCTGAAATAACATTTGCATGACTTAGTCGGAACGTTGGCAAAACGTTCTTACAACATACTTTTTCTATAGCTGGGTTGTTGTCAAATTTTGGTGTTAAAGGGATAGTTCACCCCAAAATGAAAATTCTGTCAGTATTTACTCACCCTCAAGTTGCAAGGCCTTCGTTCATCTTCAGATCACAAATTAAGATAATTTTTGATTAAATCTGAGAGCTGGATAACTCTTCCATACTAGTCCATAGGCTTCTTGAGGAATTGAAACTTGCCATCCTCGAAAAGTTATTAAATACAACCGTTAAAATAGTCCAAGTGACTACAGTGGCTCAATCTTAACTTTATCAAATGACGAGAACACTTTTTGTGCACAAAAACAAACATAAATAACTTTATTTCAACTATACACTTCCTTCTCTTTGCGCCTCTAGTCAGTTAAACTGTAATTGCGTATGATCTGTTGCTGTACGTCACACGCATCACACACATAACCAGCGTCGGCCATTAGTGAGCCTACGTGTGACGTAGCTCTATGCAATTACACTACGTTAACTGACGAGGCACAACGAGAAGGAAGTGAATATTTGAAATAAAGTCGTTATTTATGTTTGTTTTTGAGCAAAAAAAATGTTCTTGTCGTTTGATAAAGTTAAGATTGGGCCACTGTAATCACTTGGACTATTGTAACGATGTCTTTAATAACTTTTCGAGGCCGGCAAGTTTCAATCCCTCAAGAAGCCTATGGACTAGTATGGAGGAGTGATCCAGCTCTCAGATTTCATCAAAAATATCTTAATTCATGTTCCGAAGATGAGCGAAGGTCTTACGGGGTTGGAACAACATGAAGATGAGTAAATACTGACAGAATTTTCATTTTTGGGTGAACTATCCCTTTAAGGTATTTTTTAATGCATTCAACATTTTTGATGGGCTTAATGAAATACAAAATATTCCCCATGTACAGTGCGTGTGAAATACTCACGTGAAACGGTGACGAAGACTGAAGGCCAGTTTGTGTCTCTCAAGTGTGAGGTGCAGTATGATATCCAGAACTGTGACATTGTGAGCAATTGGTGGTACATAAATGGCAATGAACTCAAGCCCATTACAGATCCGAACCATTATTTAATCACAGTAAATGAAACGGGAAAAAATCAACTCAGGTCCAGGAATCTTTTCCTTTCATTCTATTCCTTGAGCCTTAAAGACAGTGGACAATACCAGTGTGATGCCAAATGTCTCAACAGTGGGACTGAAGGGAAAGGCCATCTTCTGTACCTCGACGTCAAAGGTTTGAACTGAAACATTACTTTGATTGTTACAATGTTCTTGTGTGTAACATTTATTAATATGAAAAACCTGTTTCCACAGCTGATCCAAACAAAGGTCTGCAGGTCTCAACATGGAGTGGCCAGTTAAAGGCAGACGAAGCATTGCTGGCACTCAGCGCCATGTTATTTTTAAGCCGTTGTTAAATGACATTGTGTTTTCAGTATATGAAGCAACACAAGGTATCAACACCTACTGTATACTTTACCAGCTCTATTTAAATGTAGAGCTAGTTACCTGATTTTTTGTAGTTCATTAAAAAAATAATAAAATGGTTCTTTATTGGTTCCAATTTAAGCCTAAAGCATGCACCATAAACTGAATTATTCAAATTTTAGTTCGATTGCCTAAGATAATATACACTGAGAAATTGAAGTTGTCAAAGAGATGATGACTTGCACTGTCTGTGTATAAATAATATTTTTGTGCTACACTCATTTTAACTGCAATGGAACATTTTAATGCAGCGGTCCAGGCTTGTGGTGGAAACTGAAACCAAGCTCGTCTTGCCAAAAAGAACATGAACCTCCACAGTTGTGATCAGTGATGTGACTGGCAGTGCAATGAAATGTTTTTTATTTTTATTTTATTTTATTGATAGTGCGTTTAAGAGTGGACTTGCGATACAAAGGAAAGTATGCGTTATGTTACTTTTGTGTTACTTTTTCACTTGGGCTGGTCTTGCATGTCTATTTTTTTTTAATAACAAATCCAGATCATACACCCGTCCAGATCATCCTATGCACTTCCGACGCAGTTCAACAATGGCTGAGACTAAGGCTATATTAAGTTATGTCACTGCTCTGTTCCACTTTGTAAATCTAACCAACAACGCCAACCCTTTAGTTTTGTTTTGTTTGTAAGTTTTCATGGATTCCCGACTGAATTGAGTATAAGGAAGAACTGGATTAAAACTTTAAAATAAAACAAGATAGCACGTTTGTTTGCAGCCGGCACTTTAGTGAATCAGACTAATTTATCAGGGATGCCTTATAAATAAACTTAGTGTAGTCCGTCATCAGTTCGCCAGAGAGATCGGTGATTCAACGGAAGTGGCAGTGCACAAAGATCACTGAATCCGGAAGTACGTATCAGCGTGATAATCCCCTATCCACAAGTTTCCGAGGGGCGCTCCTGTAAAAAATAAAGTGGGTGAAACTTCCGGTGATGCGGCGGAAGTAGCATTCCAATGGTATTTTGTGTGTTAGTTAGCGAAGAGGCTAGCTGTTTTTCTGAGAATTATTTTACTATTTAAAGACGCAAATCTTTATGAGAGATGTCGTTACGGAGCTCAGGGACAACATGTGCTGTTCGCGGTTGTATGTATAGCCGGACTAAACTAATTTAGTGGCTTAAACGGGATTGTTTTGAACATAAGCTGAAAACGAAATCAGAGTGATCCTGCCAAAGACTGTAGTTTCCATCACCTCCCAAAAGACGACGAATCTTCCTGTGTACATTTGTTTAAATTCTTAATGCTATTTAACTCTATCAGCATGTGATTGGCTGTTCGCTACTGATGTTACACCTAAACTCAGGATCAAAGCCTGTGTTGACAGAATACCAAATGTGCCAGTTAATGTATTCAAGCAGCACATTCATTTATAATTTTGAATAAACTCCAAAGCACAATGACTAAGTGTGTATTTTTTATTTTAATTGTTTGTCAGCTCGCACAACTGTCTGTCACCATGCCTTGATGAGTATTGATTATTAATAATGTTATTATAATACTCCCAATCAACTACTGCGGAGGGTAAAGGTACTGTTATTTCACCCTTTTTAATTTCGTTGAGTTTGTGTTCCCACATCGTTAGCTAGTTTGGATCGCTATAACTTGAATGACTTTCAACAGTTGAATGAACAAGTGTCAAGCATCGCGCTTTGTTTACTTCCAACCGGAAGTTGCGCCCACTTTTGACGCAAGGCCTCATGGGGCGTAGGAAACTTACCCGCTTCCATTGTTTCCCCCTTTTTTTCGAGTGAGCTACAGCCATAAAGCCAAGTGCGCTGGTGAGATGTGAAGAGCCAGAACTTGGCTCGGCGTTCGTGGTTCGACTGCTCTAGACTGTTTTCAAAAGATGGCTCCTGCCTGTTTTCGCGAAGTGGACTGTCTTTCAAAAAGATCTTCTTATTAAACGGTCTGTACACTTACAACGTTCTCAATGCCTCGGTTTGCATATAGGGACCCTAATTATGCTACCATGTTAGTATTGGGCTGTTTTGAACCTTGTTAGTGGTATTAACTAGCGATTTTTGTTTTCATTACTCTATGCAACATATAGGCTACTAAGCTAAAAACTCTTTACATTCGAAACAAATCTCAGAGAACGGTTGACTAGGTTGTAATTAGACCAAAGGTTCATTTTGCGCCGGAGTTGTCAGCCCGGCAAGTATCTAAAATATTTAGCTTTAAATGTAAAAGTATCCCTTACTTTAGTTACTTGAAAAAGGTAATCTGATTATGTAGCCTAGCCTAGCTCATGTTACTTGAAATGTGTTACCACAAAATCGTTCTGTCACAGTCATTATCAAAAGAGGCTGAATATTAATTTGCATGCCAATACAACATCATAAATCTGTGTGCACTGGTGATGGTAAAACACATTTGGGTATAGCTACACAAGTATTAGGAATATAGTAGGCTACAAAATTGACATCTACATTCTGCGTTACCCTGAAATTAATTTTTACTTATATTTTTACATATATATTTCACAAATGCGATGATGATAATAATCATTTCAATGTATACATTGAATTTCATTAAACTAAACCGTTTTATAAATCAACATTTCACACATTTTTTTTTTTTAGACCTGGATAAATTTGTTAAAACATTAAAATAAAACTCTTCTGCCATCCAGAAAATCTACTGTGTGCAGATTTAGGGATTTAAATTGATCTCAGAGGATAAATACTGCCATCTACTGGACATCAGATGTCTTGTTAAAATCACACTGTTAAAAAATAAGGAATATAATATTTCTCTCCTGTCTGTGATTTATTAAACTCATGGACACAGTAATAAAAAGGTGTTCCTTTTGCGGCCAAAAATAAACCCTCTAAGGCTGTGTGAGCACTGTACTTCTGCCTGAGAAAGGAGGTTGGGGAAGATTTAACATTATGTTTTATAGAGGCTAGGTACAATCAGTCCGATAACCTTTTAAATTGGCTTAATATAAATGAATTAATGCTCATTACGAATGGTTAAAGTGACCAGGTTTTACTTTCTATCACTGGAGACATTTGAGAGAGTGGGGATTGATGTGCCTTTATCTGCAAATTTAACTTTCAGTAAGCTTGTATGGTCTGTTGAGTTTCTCTTTCTTTTCCTGTCAGTTTCTCTCTCCCTATTTCTAATGAATTTTCCCTTCATGGGGACTTTATCTAGAAATCATGCCAGGTAAGTCTTAAATTTTATTTTCAATTTGACTGATAACACTGAAACTGCTGATCTCTATAGCTACCAAAATTACTGGATCTAATTACAACTATTAAGGCTTTAAAGGAGAGGTTTTTACTTCCACAACAAGTTAAACACAATTTGTGTCTTGGAAAAAAAAAACCCTTTTTGTTTTCTTTTGTTTTGAAATTACTGTTAGAACATGCAGAGTTAGAGTTTCATAGTGCTCTGCTTGTGTCACCAAAAAGTACAGTGCAAAAATAGTATTGGTATTTAAATTATTACAGTAACCGATGGGGCATAAACCTATCAAAGGGAAGTTTAAAGGTATTGAGTCAAACATTTTTTTTTTAAATCACATGGTTGAGCAGAAGTTTGACTAAAACTATCCTAACAATGTGAGTCAGTAAAGTTTTTCAGTAAACTGTTGACGGCATATTAGAGGTAGTGTAAATTCACTGCCAAGGCTGTCATTCTGACTAATCTTAAACACTTGCTCACCCTCTCATTCATTTGTAATTAGATGTCAATGTGAAAAACAATCTCATTCCACCAATTCCAGCACTTCTCTTTGCAAGCATCCAAATTGCACCCAGGTTTAATGTATTATTTAATAGAGCCGTCAGAGGCAGTTCAAATGCATCACTTTGTCAAATGAACATGGAGGGCTTGTCCATTGTTAATGCGGCTCATAATCAGAGGTGATAGGGTGCTGTTCTTATAGTGGAATCATTTTAAGCTCTATGTCAATTATTCATTCCCAGGAATGATTGAAGCAAGCAACTGTGGATAGATAGCCATAATGTATTATCAGGATGTTTAACATAATAAATCCAACGTTTCCTGGGAGTGTAAACCATACTTTAAATGTTATTACCAGTTACGTTTGAATATTATTTGTGTCATTTACCTTTAAATCACACATAAGTCAGTTTCATCACATAAAATAACAAACAAAGTTGCATGAGCATTCAAAAGATCCTAGAGCTTTATTGAAATGTCTGTTTGATAACCTATCTTTATTTAGCAAAATGTAATGGTCATATTTATTTAATTTTAATGCAATGAGCTTTTGGGGGTAATGCAAGAAACGTGAGTACCCTTTCAGTCAGCTTAGGGAGCCTGTCAGCTTCGTGTACTGTTGAAACGATTTGCATCTCACTCTCCGTCCCGTGGCGCGGATATACCAAGGGGGTAATCCACCAGCCGGAAACTGAAGCTTCACTTGGGAGCCGCCATTGTAGCAGAGCAGACTATCACCTGCTCTTAAGTTAGCACTCCATTGATTCCCATTTTTTTCGGCATCATTTTGACAGCGAATAACTTATCAGTTGAGGCGTCCAAAGACTCCATTTATCCCTTATTTATTTCTTAAGAAACATTATTGGCCCCATAGAAGCCATTTTTGTAAAAATCGGCTAACGATTACGTCATAACCACGGGACACTGTCGCACAGTAGAGAAATTACCGTATAGACAGGAGGAGAAGCTCGTAGGCAATATTTTTCTGTCTATGAGGCAATCGGGTGACCGTGGAGGCCAGACTGATCTCATGAAGTAGCGCGTGCATGACACGCCAATTCGTATTTCCATTTTTGGCGTGCTATCAAGACGCATAAACGCCTTTCAGCGTGTTTATGAACGCCGTTGACTTAACGTTATATAAATATATGACTTACCTCAACCCCGTCCCTAAACCTAACCATCACTGGGGTTAATGGTGTTTATGACTGTTCCCTTACCATCCTAGGTAAAAAAAAGATAAGACTTACCTCAACCCCATCCCTAAACTTAACCGTCACTGGGGTTAATGGCATTTATGACTGGAGATTGTACAGACACGCAGAATGACGCGGACGTTAATGGCGTAGACATATACGCATACACGCGGATAGCTCAAAATGCGTAGAGATAACACGCCACCTGACTCGAAAGTGCCGTATATGTTTACGCAAAAGTCATGATGTCATGTTGTGGAGGCATAAAGTCAAGGGAGAAGCCCATAGATGGAGAGTTCATAAAAGCAACACAACAGGACAAAATATTTCAGCAACAGATTTGTCTCGGCACAGCTACTAGAAGGCCAGAGCGGTTGCTCACGTCACATCTACGTCATCAAGCTTAGTTTGAGTCTGCGCAGTACGCTTGGCTATCAGGAAGTGAGTGCTAATTGGCTTCAACTTTCTCTTTTGAAGTCTATGGGGTCACTGTGTCCATTTCTTTTACTGTCTATGGGCTATAGAGAAGTGGATGCACGCACCAGTTGTCTTTTGCTTCGAGAGGATCGGTGTCGATGTCTCGAGGGTTGCATACGCAACCGAGACGTTTCGAAATTAGATTACTAGTGACTAGTGTACTTTTAAATTTACAACAAAATACTTGAGTTACATTTTCAAATGAGTTATGCAAGTTTGTTTTTCCATTTATTGACTGACCGTTCTCCATGTTGAGAGAAATCAGAAGTAAGTGGAGAGGCGTTGTGTGCGATGTGTAAACATGATGGTTTTGTTGTTCTGTCTAGACTAAATGTGAGCAATTCACTCATCTCTGATTCAATATTCCTTAAAAGCAACACAAAACTATTCAATGCAACTCAGAATATTACACAAACATGGTAAATGTTGTTTTTAATCTCACTTTATTAACCAGTGTCTTGGCTAGCTGACCCTTGATGATCTAATTCAACCATACGAATAAGCAAAACATCTTTTATCTAAAGTAAGAGTTTTTTTTTAGTAAGAGTATTGAACTTATCCTATAACTGATGCTAATGTATTTAAAAAATGACACGGTGAACAAAGAACACAGTGAATTTGTGCTGAGGTCTATTAGATCTGATGTAGTCTATGATGTCATGTTTCCAACAAAGCAACATTGATGGTTAATGAAACCTCAGTAGAATTTCTTTAGGAGAATGGCTTGCTGTAACCCGTTTCCTTTGTGAAGAGGAAGGACATTCATAATTTATTCTTACTTGAAAAGAGAGATAGAAAGGCAGAAACAACTGCTACATGTGGACATTTATAGATAAGTGTGCTATATGCTTTCATTTCAGTAATAAACATGCACCAGGATTTCAAAGTGGTCTAATGCAAAATCATTTTTCAACTTAATCACTGGGTAAAACATATCCCTTTCACCAAATTAAGTAAAACTGCATCAAACGGCTAAATTCATCTTAGAAAAAATATACAACTAAATATAGAAAATTAATCCCTGCATTTAGTACAGTGCACAGTTTTCATACTGGAAACGAGATGTCACAGTAAGAAGTCAGAGCTTATATCTTGCATTTCAGTAAGATACACATTTGCTGTGGATTTTGCTTACACTTTTAATGCATTTTCATTACGACATTACTTAGCATGACTGGTTTTGGTTGGAATGAATGCAGTTACCTGAAATCACCAAAGCTAAAAATCTAAACAGCTAAATGTTGGCATACTATACCTTCTGATACTAAATGTTAATTGTAACACATAGGGAAAAATGTCTAAAAAGAGTGTTGCTTTTGCATCTATCCTCCATGGGTTTATTCTTTATGGTGGTAAAAAGGGTTCTTTAGATTATTAAAATGTTCACAAGAAAAACATGTTTTTTTTAAAAGAACTTTCACTACTAATATGTTTTTTGGAGATCCCATGCAACATGGAAATGGTATTTGGAGCATTTATTTTCTTACTTCATGTGTTTTCAAGACTTGGATGTAAATTCAAGAGAAATATGCAGATTATGTGATTGGGACAGAGCTCAGATTCATCTGACAAGATTAGGGAAATGTTCCTTTGATGATGGATTATTTAATGGTGATGAGTTAAGATCACAACGGGACTCTGTAATGTTTCTCTTGTGTTCAGGTCTTCAGCTAATATGGGCAAAACAACTATTGTGCATCACATGTACCTCGAGGAAGAAGAACCACCAGTCAATACCCAGGGACATAAATTTCCAAAGCTCTATCCAAACACATCACTGACTCACTCATTGGAGAGTGAGAACGGGTGCTGTTACTTCTCTGATTCTGCTCCCAATTACAGGCAAGTCGAAGTGAAGAGTAGCAGTAAACATTATTTGTTGACGGCAGCCTTATTGGCATTCATTTATCAGTTGCCATTTTGGTGCTTAGGCCATGTGTCCACCAAAGCGCCAGACGCTCTGCTGAAGATGCCATGTTTTGGGCGCTTGAGAGCGTTTTGGCAGCACAGCGTTTTTTCCGTTGAGACGATTCGTTGCTATGATACAGAATATCCGCAGCACAGTTTTCGCAGATAATTTGTTTCATACTAAAAATGTATTTTTCATCCATTTTGTTCTGTTAGCTCTGTTGGTTGATGGCGTTGTTCAGAAACAATGTTGTGACAGTTGGTCAGTGTGGTGTAGTCCCGCCCCTTCTCCACTGTGATTGGACGGCTGGGTAAAAAAGCTGCGTTTTATCCAAAGTTCAAAATTTTTCAACTCTCGGCGACCAGTAAAAAACGCTGGGCGCTCGGCGCTTCAGTGTAAAAAAAAAAGCTCAGCGCCTCGTTACGTTAATGGCGTTTAAAAAAACATGGCGCTCCCATTGAAAACGTACACCAAGCTCATGGAAAAACGCTTTGGTGGTCACGCGGCTTTAGTGTTGAGTGTTTGACGCCGAACAATCTGCACTTTTGAATTTGCCGATCTTTAACTACAGCAGAATTTTGAGTGAATGACACATTAGAGAATTCTTACGCCGTGTGTTTTAAAAGAGCATTTCACCCGTGGGAACATTAATCTTTATTAAAAGTGGGCCATACATGTAGTCGAAATGTACTATTAATTTCGAATTTGGTGCCTTCTTGACCAAGAAAATACATGACGAAACTTTAGGGTGCCTTTTTCTATGAAAGACAACAACTTCCTCAATGCACCACATTGCACAGCTCCGCAAGCCACTCCCACTAATCCAGAACAGCGCCTATGAGGTATCTGCCTAATAGAGAAATCCCTCTTCCGTCTACAAGGCTAGCTAACACCAGAGTTTGAAATTCATTTCACACAAAATTTCAAGTTAGTTGGTGAACTCATTAGTGAATTACTCCTCATTTGCATTTCTTTCGAAATGGTGAATTATTGCATGATACCAGGATGTTCAGTCAGAACATAAGCGTTGCGAAATGGTTGACAACACAAACGTCCGTGTCCTCGTCTGATTCAGAGATTTGGTTCAGGAGAAATTGGCATCATTGAAATTCTTTGCAGCAGACGGACTCTATCTCTGTGTCTATAGGCTCACAGTGAGAGGACACTATCAGTCCGCCTTCATCCATCAGCCTCGGCGGCTCTTCACTGCGTTGGCCACAAACATCTGATTCGAAATCGCCTTCTTCCATATCATCTTAAGTACATTTCGGAATTGTTGTAACTTTACATCTGGCTCCACAGTGCCTGTTAGCTTAGCTTCCAAACAAGCTTGGATATTGGATGACAAGATGGAGGATAACAAGATGGAGGATATTGGTTTTAGTTTCAGAAAGTAAAGTCCCATCCACTGATCTGTAATAGGTCTGTAGAGTGAATTGGTCCCACCCCCTGAAAAAATAAGGAACAAGTGTTGTAGTCTCAGCTCCATGGGACTTCCTGCATACAATGATGCAAAATGACGTTTTTTACATCATTATAAGCAGGAACTGCAACACTGAAATCCTTATTTTTACCATCTCAGGGAAAAATGAGGGGATAATGCACAACCTTTCAAAAATATGACTGGGTTTCTAAAGATTCAAAGCTTAATGCAAATGGTTGAAGTGTCCCTTTAAGGCATGAAGAATGTTTTTCAAGAATTTTTTTTTAAATGTTTCATTTTGGAGATAAAATATTAATTTTAAGGGATACAATTATTGACTACAGGGGGACTTTAATAGTTAGTCAATAATGAGAATTAGACCCTAATCTAAAGTGATCACAGAATGTTCATTTTTGAGTGAGCAATTCCTGCAATTCCAAATCATAGCAATTTAAATACTACATTATTTTACAGTAGGCTAGCCTAATTTTACATTTGCTCTTCTTCAAAATGTTTGATAAGATAACTTGTTTAAATGTAGTATTTTAGAGTCTGTATGTACAGTCTAATTATATCATTTATAGTGTATGGCTTTAATTGTCATGGACATAGCCTACTGTAAGCAGGTTTTTTTGGGGGGTGTTCTTATGACTGGTAAAACAACCCTGGTTACGATATTCTTTTGTGGAATAGAGAACAAAATTACAGCAAAAACATTCTTCAGAATATCTCATTTTGTGTTCTACAGAAGAAAATGCACAGGGATTTGGAATGACGGCTGATAAAACGACAGCATTTCCATTCTAAGATTTTCTATTCCTCTAATATTGCAGTAAAATCTCTATCTCCAACATTTAAGAGTTAAATTATAAGAAGGGAAACCCCGTAAGTGTTGTTAACCAATAAAAGAAAACTTGTAGAAATTCTAACGGTTGTGTGATGTCACCAATCAAGCGCCACGGCAGCATCCCTCAGTCTGACACCATGACAACCGCAGCGCGCGAACGCTGGAATTTTTGCTGCTCCCGCGAAGCCCAATATGAAGACAAGATGCCGCCATACGAGCGCGAGACGCACTTGTTCTCTTGAAATATTCTTCGCTCCGCACTTTTGGAAGAAGACGTCGGAGAATTGCAAAACCACCTGTTTCTAGCGTCCGTCGGCAATGTGAGTTAAACAGCCTTTCGATTGGCCAAACCTTAATATTTCTGTGCCGTAAGAACTGCGCTGGTTTGATCACACTAAAATCAGGAGCGATGAAATGCGCATTGGAGTCAGGGATGCTCCTCATGGCGTTAACGCGTGGAGAGCCAACTGGGGCGTGTGTGCAATGCGTGTTAATGCATGTGTGAGAGAGTGAGAAAGGAAAATAGAGGAAAGAAAAAAGGCTTGTACATTCGCCGCACGCGCTCTACTGGCTCCAAATGGGGAATATGAGGATCTTGTGAGGACGCCAAAGATAAATAGTATTCCAGACTCTCCTGCCACACAAGAGGACCACGGAACACCCTCCTCAGAGAGCCCTTGTTTAATACAAGGTGCGATTGAATATCCATAGTAAGACGCGTCAGGTAAGCGATACGGGGGTTGCGTTCGCATTGAAGTTCTAAGCGTCTTTTGTCGAGCATCGTTTGATGCGTCGCAAAAGTGAAAGCGCACAAGCGCCTTCGTACCATGCAGGTACCAGTGCGTGCGCTTTATCAACAAAAATGGACATCACACAACTGGCCACGGATACCTGGTCTGCAAAGTTCCTAAATGAAGCGTTTTAATCAAGTGGGGAACCTTATTGAGATTTGACAGGCAGTTCATTATCACAACATTTATGTTCTGTTTACTCAAAGGGTCCTCTAACAACTTGGATATTATCTTGTGATGATGCATTGTTCTTCCATCATCTTAAACGATCCTGATTACTGCATGGATGCTTTAATGCTGCAGTGTTGGTCTGAGTTCAACTTCGAGAGCGCACACTATTGCTTTTTAATGACGATACCAATATTGTGTCCAATATACTGATACGCATTAACTATTATTATTTTTTCCTGCTTTGACTCATAATTATCATAATACAACAACAACAAAAAAATGATATGCCTTCTGAATAATGTATTATTTTCATTATTATTTCCGTGATATTTATTCAAAGATTTGAGATATAGATGGTTTAGGGCTGTCTGAATATTAAACTACATAGCTCTGACTTCTCTGGCTGTTATTTAAGGAGTAAAGTCATTTTCCAAACAATACATTCAATTAGTTGCTCTTGTGAATATTGTTGTTGGGTGATTTTCCATATTATAGTGACCAACCAAGTGTCATAATTTATCTAGCTGATTACTTGAAAAGAGTGATATCAGCAGCACAAATATTGGTCAAACTGATTATCAGTCTGTATCTATTCAAAATGCCATATTTTAATGGTTATGTAAAAAAAATGCATGCATTAATGCATCTAAGACTTGCTAGGTAGTGAGGCACCGCTTTCTGCAGGATAATTATTGATACTCGCTGGCGCTGCTCTCTGAGGGCTATAGAGTGTGATCAAAGATTTATACACTCGTTCCAGGCGCTGTCATGTGTGGAAACAGAGGTTAGGAAGTAGACAGGTTTTGTCCCAATAGATTGTCCATGCTCATTACCTCAAGGGAGCTGAGGGAAAATAAATTGCTGTGAGCAAAACAGTTTGTACTGTAAAGTGTAAATTAAGCATTTTCTAATGCAGATCAATGATTTGGGGAAGCTAGTAACATGTCACAGGCAATTGTCACCAAGGATTCACATGATAGTTGTTGTAACATTTATGTACCGTTTAGTTAATAGAGTCTAACATCATTAGATTTTATTGTAATTGGGTCTATCTTGTATATTATTTGGGTTCCATTGTCTTAAAAGGGATATCCTTAGCATAATGCAGCAGTGTTGGTTCGAGTTCAACTTTTTAGATTGTAATGGTTATTTAAACGAGGATAATTCTTTTTGGCATGAATAAATTTATTCAACTTTTTCCCATTATGACATAATTTAGTATTTTATATTTAGTATTTTAAAATTTGGTAACATTAAAAAAAATGAAACACTCTAAATTCTTCTTTAGTATATCTTTACTGTAAATTGTCTTAAGTAAACTTAAATTGTCATGAATGCTTTAGAAAACAGACTGGCTGGAAAGCACTTGTGTAAAAAAAATTTAATTATATTTGTGCATTTTTGCAACCTATATGCATTCCAAAGCATTCGTGACCTTTTAAAGGGATAGTTCACTTTGAAATACATTTTTGGTATGTTTTAGCTTACCTCAAGGGCATCCAAGATGTAGGTGTCTTTTTTTTTTTTACGCAGTAGTTTAAATTTTTCTATTTTTGGGTCAAACCGTTCTTTTCTGTCTTGTCGCGTGTGTACGTCACTCATTGTTTACAGAGAGGTTTCGGAAGTGTTACCTTTCACTGTGAAGATTTGAACATTTAGATATACAAGAAATCGCAGTGGAAGACGATTTCGATATATCAACAGACAACGTTGATTTAAAAAAAAAAAAAATTGATTTATTTATTTTTTTTGCAACAGCACGAGAGATCACTTCCGGCGCTTTCCGGCGCTTGCGCATACCGAACCACCTGCGCCCTCAGATCACTTGGACGTGGCTGTGGTTACAAGAGGTAAAACGATATAAATACTGTTCGTTTTCTCACACAAACCGCTCGTTTCGTGTCTTAGGCCATCAACGTGTACTTGCGTTTACGAGTTTAAATCATGTTTAATTTGGACTTCTCTGTGCATGCTCTTTGAGGTGGTGACCATAGACCTCCATTATATGACTGACAGACAAGAACGGTTTGACCTAAAAATATCAAAATTGAAACTACTGCGGAAACAAAGACATCTACATCTTGGATGCCCTTGAAGTCAGCTAAAACATACCAAAAATTTATATCAAAGTGAACTATCCCTTTAAGTTCAGAAATTATGATATGAACAGTGGGTCCAAAGTGTCCGAGAGATTTATGGAATGGAACAAATACTCCCACAGACTTCAGTCAAACACTTTTGAGGCAAGATGGAGGCCAATTTCTAGAATAGTACATAACAATGACCAACAAACCACTGTAATAAATTATCGTAAAATGATAAACAGTAAAGGACTGTAATGGTAAAAGACTATAAAAATACTACAGTGAAAATCTGTTAATTGTTTACTTTTCCGTACTATACGGTAAGTAAAAGAGCTAACCGTTTAATTTTACATTAAAACACTGTTGATATCCTGTAACATTTTACATTTTATGTATTTTCGGTGAAATAACTGTTTCCTCTTAGTTTTTTCTAATCGATTATTGTTTCATAATGTTGTTAGATTAATGTTACTGCGTTTTTTTATGTTGGGTTACAAGGATGGTGTTAAGTGTTTGTGTGAACAGTTTGTGGAAAAGCTACTTGTGATGTGCTTTGATTCTTCATTAGACTTTCTCATCACCTGTTTTGTTGGTTGTCAGTGTATTACAAATGTACAAACCTGATATTAGTACTTCACTTGGTTGGCAAATGAACATTATATATAATGAATACATTTGTTTTAACTGTAAATTCAAGTTCAATTTGTAAAACCTAAAAATGTTGCTATGCCTATTTTTTACGGTAAATTTCAGGCAACCACAGCTGCAGATTTTTTTTATACAATCATATACATATATGATTCTGCCGTGTTATTGGTTAATTTATTTTGGTTAATTAAGGACTTGAGGTTTTGCTCATATAGTTCTCTTTTCATTATCCCACCCCCTTTTTTAAAATTTCTTCAATTTCTGTTTACTATGTATTTGCTACCCTGTTAACTATTCCTGATGTATGTCTGTGAGCACATGCTGTTCCTAAGTTCAGGGGGAAAAAAGATATTATGAATAGAAATGAAAAAAACCAACAACATAAATTATGAAATAAAGCTGGTTTGGGACATGAGGGTCAGATGAGATGGGTCAGTGGCATATTTTAGCACATTTTAGAATATTTTAGTACAGACATGAGATGTGTGTGCAGATACCTTAATATCTGGCCATCTCTTAGCGGTGACGAGTGTGACCAACGGTTTATACACTCGTTCCAGATGCTGTTTTTGAGTGTTGGTAAATGAGAGACACTTTGAATTTGTAAGCCAGGGTTCATTTGGACTAGTGTCTCCAGGGATCAATTTAACATTGTCCCCAGTTTTTCATCTCCATGGTTGTAATGAAATTGCACAGGACCCATCAGGGTACAACCTTTCAAACCCTTGATTATAAGTGAGTGACCTAGACTCTAAAATAAGATTACATCGCTTAATGGTGCATTACATAAGGCAAACAGATTTGGGATTTAGCAAATACAGGTGTGTATTTACTGGCCCGCTCACAGGTTTCCAAAAACAGTGGATCGTCAAGCTTTTAGCAATCTCTCATTATAGAATGATCAATAAATTATCGTAAAGTTTCATAAAATATTATATTTAAATATTACATCCTAGTACAGTGCACCCATAAGTGATTTTGAGGAAGCATTTAAAAAGAGTTATTGAAGGACAAAGACTCAAAACGTGAGTGATAAGTTCTCCAGACCTCTTATTCTTGCTTCCTCTTGGTTATTTTGACATTGTGGCCCTTGGGCATCATTCAGGACATGAAGAAGATCAAACAGACTTATTAGCACAAAGAAAAGCATAGATTCTTCAAAAGGTACAGTTGTAAAAAAAAAAACAGTGAAAGAGAGGGAGAAGAAAAAGAGAAAAAGGACAATGAGAGAAGGTCAGATGTACTTGGTGAGAAGATAATATATCTAATACATTTACAATGTGTCTGGTGGCTTATGCTGTCTGGCTTTGCTGTGACGGTGTGTTTGAGACCATGCAGAAGTCACCTGGTTACGTATATCAAATCAGAGCTCACACTTGATTTCTGTATAACATCATTAACATTTGCTGCAAGGTAAATTCATCTCTGTCAAATTATGCTTTTTTTCTTCATTCACTATGATAAGTGGTTCTGATATAGACTGCAGTTTTCAAATGCATAAGTATAATTTATAAGACAAACAGCAGATAAAAATGCTTTGCAAAATCATCAGAATATCAGAATCAGAATAATATACAATTAAAAAAAACAGAAGACACATTTACAGAAGAGGATTAGGGGCTAAGGTATAATAAAAAAACAACAACCATTAAAGTCATTATAATGCGAGATTAAACTCGTTAAATTTCGAGAAAAAAGTCTAAATAAAATGTTGAGAATAAACTCATTAAATATTAATATATGTTGAGAATAAACACATTTCGTCGAAATTGAAACATATCATCACGAAATTTAAAGAGTTTTTTTCCCAAAACACGACTTTATTCTCGAAATTTAATGACTTTATTCTCAAGATTGTATTTCGACTGTTTTCTCGAAATTTAACAGGTTTTTGTCTCTCTCGAAATTTAAAGATTTTTTTTCTCGAAATACATATATTTATATATATATATATATATATATATATATATATATATATATCGATATTTAATGAGTTTATTCTCAAGATTGTATTTCGACGCTTTTTCTCG